AGGGGAAATTAATTTCCCTAACAAAAGGAAGGGAAACAAGCCCAAAGTTAAAATTTTATTTACCACTTACATTGGACCCCCGCAAAACGAAACCCCTCCAAGGGGGCCAAATTTTTTTGGAATTTATTTTAGGGAAGGGGGTTTTCCCCCTTATGTTTGGGGGGTCAAAATTAATTTTCCAAGCAAAAATTTTTGGGGAAAAAAAAATTTTCCAATAAACTTCACCTTTAACAACAAGGAAAAAGGGAAAAAAAAGTTGGAAAGGGGTCCAAAATATTTTTGTGCATGTACTAAAACTTAAAAAATGAAAAAATTTAAAGGGCACTTCCCTTTATTGAAGTTCAGAAAATTAAATAGAACACTGTGCCCTGGGAGTCCCCTTTTCCCCCTGGTACTGTGGGCCTTTTTGGGCTTTTTCTTCCGGGAAAAAGGGCCAAAATCAAAACTGTGAAAAGCCACAAACATTTTTAAAATTTCCTAAAACCAACCTTTGCTGGTTTTAAAATTTAAACCAATATAGCACTATTTTCCAGGCTTTTTTTTTCCCTTTTTGTTCACCTGGGTTTTTGTCGACGGGTGTGGGTTTGCACCCGGGGAGACAAGTTTAAACCCCTTTTGGGGGTTTTTCGTGGGTATTGGGTAGGTCTTAGGGCTTTGGGTTTTTTTTGGGTTTCTAGTACGCAAAAATTTCCCCTAGCGGCCTCAAAATCCCCGCGCAAAAAAGGTTTGGTAGGCCTAGGTTTTAAGAAAGGGGGTTTTGGGGGTTTTTTCAGGGCGGGGTTTTAAAAAAAAAACGGGGGGCCCCAGGGGGCCCTTGGGGGGGAAACCCCTTTTAGAAAACAATTCCACCAGCCTCGGGGGTAAAAAAGCTCCTCCCCCCCCTTTTGGGGAAATTTGGGGGGACACTTTTTTTTCCCCAGTGACAGTTCTAAAATTTATGGAAGTGAAGTAAAAGTAAATTTTCCCGGTGGTTTTAGTCAGGTTTTCCCGAAAAAAATGACCAAAAATGGGTAATGGTGAAGAAAACCCAAAAGACCCTCAGCCCCCCCACCTCGGGTTGCTGGGCCCTATGTGCACGTTCGTTTTTTCCAAAGAACCCCAAAGGAAAATTCTTTTTTTTCCCCAAACCCCGATAAGATAAAGAGCAGGGGGAGGGAATGATAGTGAATTTTGAACTACAAGCTCTTCAAACTAGTTCCAGTAGTGAAGTGAAGTGAATTTTTCCCCCCGTGAACGCCCGGTATATCCCAACGAAAATTTGCGCTCTGGAAGTGTCCCATATGTTATACCAAAGGGAGTGTATTCGGGGTACATCCCGTGGCTGTACAACAAAACCCGACAGGTGAAAATAAACAAAAATTTTAACTGTTGAAATTTGGGGAGGGGAAAATGTGCGTGGGGGGAAAGGGGGGGCCCCCGGGGGGTGGGGCCCCAGCAGGGGGGCCAGGGCCTTGCCCCCCACGCTGCCACCCACGCCGCCCCCTTTAGTTTATCTAGAAAAAAAGGCCACCACCCCCCAAACCTCCCCCAAAAACCGGGCCCTTTCCACAACCACAACCTCCACAACCAAAACCACCTGTCATTGCCCCAGTACCCCCCACAGACCGCACCGGGGGATTGGCGGGAAGCTGTCAATTTTTTCCAAATCCCCACCGTTTGATGGCAGCCCAAAATGGAATAAAGGCCTTTTTGTTTCCCAAATTGGGGAAAAATGGGGCCCCTGAAAAGGAAAGTTCGAGTTATTTTTTTTGACAACCAAATGATGAAAAGTTTTTGTCAAAGGAAACAACCAAATACGGTAACACCCTTTGGGAAACACAAAACTTTTTCCCCCCAAAAACACCTTTTACCCAAAACCCCCGGAAGGAGGGAACGGGGGGTGAGAAAAGTATTTTTTCTTTTTCCAAATAATGCCTTTTGGGCCCCATGTGTATAAGCACAAAGTGAAACCCAAAATGGTCAAAAAGACCCCCTTTATTGCAACACAAGGTTTTAGTTTTATAATGCCAGGGAAACGAAATTTTGGGTAAAAGTTTCGTATGCTTCAAATTCTCAGATAAAAAAAAGGGCCCTGCCCGAAAAAAAAAGGTTATTAAAATTAGGAAAAGTGTTTGTGTATCTTTAAAAAGAAAAATTTAGTACTCTTTTTTAAACCCCTTCCCGGGGCTTGTAATTGACGAGTCTTTTATTTTTTTTCAAAGGGAAAACCTCTTTCAAGCAGTACATTACCAAGCAAAAGAAACGCTTTTGGGATAAAGTTGTTTTTTGCTTTGTGATTGTTACAGTTGGGCTGGGTTAAAGGGGTATTATTTGTAAACTGGAAGTTATACAAATTTCAAAAACCCGGAAATTATTGGCATCTCAGGGGGAGGTTTGGGTTTGGGAAAAAAAAATAGAAACCCCAAAAATTTTGGTTTAAGGGGGGATTTTATTTAAAAAAGATAACTGGAAAAAAGCCCCCCATCAGTGATTTTTTTTCGATTTTAAATGACAAGGGGTGTGTGTTTGGGCCCGTGCTTCAAACGAAAAACATATGCCCAGGTTTTACGCTGGCCTCGCAGAGGTGAGGTGAAGGCGTTTTTCTTCCAAGAAAACAAAGGCATTTTGGTGGGAAGGGCAAAAGGGAAAGTCCCCCCTGTTTTTCATCAATTCAACCCCAATGAAATGGGAGAAAGGGGGCAGGCAGCATAGAGAAGAAAAGAAACCCCTTCTTAAAAATCCCGGTGAATTTATTTCCCTTCAACATGCGTTGGGGACAAAAAGGGACTGGGAGGGTTGGGGGTTTTCTGTTTGTGTTCGCCAAGAGTTATAAAAAGGGTACTCAAACTGTTTTTTTTCCCTTTTGGAAAATTTCCCTGCTCAATGTTTTAATATGTATAAGTGGGCACCAGAAAAAAAACCAACCCAGTTCGGGGAATTTTTTGTTTGTCTGTCTTAGACAAATAGTATTTCCCAATTTCCAAGGAAAAAACACCTTTCAATTTACCGCCCACCCCCCCAAAAATTAAACAAAAAACAAACCCGTCGTCGAAACCCGGGTTTATCACTTCCCCCGGGAAAACTGCCTGCTAAATGCTTTGAAGAAAAAGGGGTCCCGAAAAAAGGGTGTTACGCTGTTCAAATACAAAAAAAAAAGGGCCCCCAAACAACGCCCCCCACTCGTTTTTGGGAGGAGTTTCAAAAAATCCCCCTTTTGCATTAAACCATGTTTTTAAAAAACTTCCACAGGGGGCAGAAACCTTTTTAAAAAAAATGTCCTGTGACTGTATATGGTTTTAAAAAAATATAAAAAAAATAGTAAAAACCCAAAATTAAAAATTTTTTGTTTGTGTAAATATTTTCTGTAAACCAAAAAAATTTACAAAAGTGGGTTTTGCCCTTTTTGTGTAGTATTGAAAAAAAAAATAAAATTTCCCAAAAAATTTTAACATTTTTGGCCTCAGAGGGCCCTTTTTAAGGGTTAAATCCGAAAAAAAAAATTGGAAAAAAAAAATTTTAAAAAAAAATAAAAAAAAAAGTAAATAGAAAAATACCGGGTTTTACGGCAGTCGGCGATTTTTAAAACCCTAAGGTTTTTTCAATTTTTGGCAAACTTCACACCTCCATATCTCGGGAAGTATTGACGTTAAAATTTTTTTTTTTTTACCCATAAATTTTTTTGAAAAAAATTTTTTATTTTTTTCATAAAAAAAATAATTTTTTTTTTTTTTTTTTTAAATTTGGCCCCACCCTGAGAAGAGTTTTGGGAAAAGGGGGGGTCGACCCCCCAAAGGGTTTTAAAGGGCCCCAGGGAAAAAAAGTTTTTTAAAGTCTTCCGGGTGGGCACTGACTTTTTTTGGGTTTAAACCTGGGTGGGTAACCCCCCGGGGTTAATTGTTTCTTTTATTCTCAAAAAAAGCCACACCAAAAAACCCGGGGTTGGGACAGCGCAGCAGGCGTGCCCCCCCCCCCCCCCCCCCCCCCCAAACCCCCCCCCAGCTGGGAGCAGCGAGGTGGTACCGCACCCGCGCAGCTGACGGGGGTACAAACAGCCAGCAGTTTGTGCTACAGCAGCCGCGACGGGTCTTCAGCAGCCCGCGACGGTTACAAACAGCACAGCAACTGAACCCGGGGGTACAGCAGCAGCCGGCCCGCTGACATTTCTACAGCGCCCGCAGACGATGTTTTCAAACAGGGAGCAGAACCGGTTTCACAGCCCGCAGCAGCAGTGACCCGGGGGTACAGCAGCAAACAGCCCCTGTAACCCACCAATTTGTTTCGAAGGTTGGGTTTTGGGGGTTTTTTATACAACCTGGGGCCCGTCGGGGACACAACCTCCAATTTAAACTTATCAATGAATTTTTTTTTTTTCATCCTTTTATAGTTTCTCACCCTTAAAGCGGGAGGGTTGGGACTAGAAGCTTTTCCCTTGGGGGCCCATGGTCACTTTTTTTTGCATATAAAATCACCAAAAAACACTGTAATAAAAAACGAAATGTTTTGATTGTATTCTTGGGGTGTTAGCGGAGGGGGTGGCTGGTAAACAATGCCCCCGGCGGAACAAAGTGAGGCTGGCTAAAGGGGCCCCATTTGAAACCTTTTCGGGCGAAAAGCTTTTAGCGGGTTTTTTTAAGCGGTAGCGAGGCAAAATTTTTGGTGGGAAAAAAGTAGCGGGAAAAACGGAATTTTAAAGTTATGCGGGCCCAACCGGTTTGCGGGGGGTTTACTGTTATAACAAAGTTCCCGTTGAATCGAAACAAACATCATAAGTTTTTTATTTGGGTGTGCGGGGTTTTTTTTGTGCATTGGGCCAGTTTACTGTATTGTATTTTTTTATTCTTTTAAGCTAGACGTAAATAAGCAATACAACTCAGTGCATTCCATTTTGCAGTTGGAACAATTGTATATGAAAAGACATAATGCTCTTGCTAAAAGAGGTTTTTGTTTTTATTAAAATATTTTGGAATAATACATTGTCTTGTATTTAATGAATAATCAATGCTTGCCTATTATGTCCACAGATTGAAACACATCAGAGTCGAGGATCTTTAATCATAGTGGCTTTCTCTGATTGACAAGCCCCAAACCTGGAGGTTGGGGCCGAACATGTGAAGTCTTCAGTGTCAAGGAATATGTAGTGGCATCCCTTAGCATTTTGGAAGACCAGACATTAAATCACTTTCTCTGACAGCTCAGCAGTGGGTACCCTGAAAGAGGTAAGTTCAATTTTATACCTGTCTCTCTTTAAATCCTTGTAAACAAATACAGTGGACCCTTTGTTATCAAGCCATAATCCGTTCCAGAAGGTCGGCTTAAAACCAAAATGGCCAAAAACCCAAAAAATAATATTTCCCTTTAAATTAAATGTAAATAAAATTTAATCCTTTCCCAGACACCCAAAAAATATTAACAAAAAATACTTTTTTTAAAGATTAACTGTAGTTTTACATACAAAAAATAATGAGAGAGAAATATAAAGCACTAATTTTACTAATAAAAAGAACGTTATATACCTTTATTGAAACTCTTGTTGGCATATGGAAGAAGGCAAGGGGGGGGTTACTTTGTCTTTTACTGCCACTAGGACCAGCTTGAGTCACTGCTCCTTGTCGCCACAAAAAATCTGTCCACTCCCTGCCTGCCTGCTACACTCTGCCTCCCTGCTACACTTCCTTTCCTGTATGCTACACCCCTGCATACCTGCTACACTCCCTGCCTTCCTGCTGCACTCCTTGCCTCTATGCCTGCTTGCTACACTTTCTGCCTGCCTGCTACAACTCCCCGCCTGCTTCACTCCCTCCCTGCCTACTAAAACTCCCTCCCTGCCTGCTACACTCCCTCCCTGCCTGCACAACTCCCTCCCTGCCTGCTACACTCCCTGCCTTCCTGCTACAAACCCCTGCCTCTTGCATGCCTGCTACAACTCCCTGCATGCATACTACACTCCCTGCCTTCTTGCTGCACTCCTTGCATACCTTCTACACTCCCTACCACACTCCTTGCCTCAATGCCTGCTTGCTACACTCACTGCCTGCCTGCTACACTCCTTCCCTGCCTGCTACACCCCCTTTCCCTGCCTGCTATACTCTGCCTTCCGCAAACACGCATGCCGCAACACTCCTTGCCTCTATGCCTGCCTGCTACACTCCTTGCCTCTATGCCTGCCCTGCAACACTCCTTGCCTACATCCTTTGGCCTGCTACACCCCTTTGCCTCTATGCCTGCCTGCTACACCTCCTTGCCTCTTTGCCTGCCTGCTACACTCCTTGCCTCTATGCCTGCCTGCTACACCTCCTTGCCTTCTATGCCTGCCTGCTACACTCCTTGCCTCTATGCCTGCCTGCTACAACTCATTGCCTCTTTGCCTGCCTGCTAAAACTCCTTGCCTCTATGCCTGCCTGCTACACTCTCTGCCTTCCTGCTGCACCTCCCTGCTTGCCTGCTACACTCCTTGCCTCTATGCCTGCCTGCTACACTCTCTGCCTTCCTGCTGCACTCCCTGCTTGCCTCTACACTCCCTGCTGCCTCTACACTCCCTGCTTGCCTGCTACACTCCTTGCCTCTGTTCCTGCCCTGCCTTGAATTCAAATCATGTTTCCACTATCTTTACCAAAAGAAATTTACTAGGAACTTTCTTTGGGCCCATGGTGGCTTATTTCACATCGCACTTAATCAATAACCCAAAAAAACACTGGATTATGTGAAAGTTTTGGATGAATGCGCAGGGGCTTCCTCACTGACCCAGAGACACAGCCAGACTGACTCACGAACCGGCGGAGTGGCAAGTGGATGTGTCCAATTTGGCCGATAACTGAAATAACGGTCGATAACCGGGATGGAATTTCAGCCAAAAAAACAGGTGAAAACTGAATTGGCCGATATCCGGAACGGGCCCATAACTAAGTCCACTGTACTTGTTAGTCCTCTAAAAATTGCTCTATATTCAGGTGTTCCTTGATTTGTGCAGTAGATTTGTTCCAGGCCTTTTAAGTGTGTACTAATCTCAGTCAGACAATAAACACTTAATATGCATAATAAAAATCTTTTAATGCAGCTTGTTAGTTGTACCATTCACATACAGCGACCGTAAATCACACAGATGAAATTACTGATGTAAATGTGGTATCTCATAATAATAATAATAAATTCACATATAGCATAACCCATTAAAAAATTCAGAATACAGGAAACTACTCTAAGCACCTTGATTTGATGACTTGATTTAACCCCTTAACCCTTTTTTGAGGTTTCGGACGTACTAGTACGGCTTACGACCGAGGGTTATTGACGTACTAGTACGCCTAAATTCTAGTGCCCTCAAATCTAGTGGGAGAAAGCTGGTAGGCCTCCATACAAAAGAATGGGTCTATGTGGTCAGTGTGCAGGTTAAAAAAAAATCCTGCAGCACCAACAGTGCATAATGAGAAAAAAAAAAAACTTTGAACCGTTTTTTTTTGGACTAAAACAGCGACTTTGCACTGTATTTTCGTATGGTATTTATTGATATTGTATTCTAGTTTTCTTGGTCTCATTTTATAGAAGAAAGGTATGTCATAAGAAATTGAGAGATTTTGACTGAGTTTTACAATGAAAAGTACCTTGAAATGAGTCAAAGTAGCAGAAATGTCGATTTTTTTAACAAGTTCAAAAGTAAACAAATCATTCCAGCGTCCAACACACATCAACTGGTAGTCTAATATCTTTGCCAGTATGGCCCAATGTGATTCATACCATTTTTTACACTAATGCAGTAGTCTGCATAACAGTAAAGTTCTTCTATTTTGTGAGAATAAAAATTTCAAAAGTGGGAAGCCAAAGAAATACAAGAGGGGGCCCCCGGGGATGTGACTAACGAACAGAGAACTTGTTTTATTAAGTGCCAGAATGTCTTTCTTGTTTTTATTCTGGACCCTATTTCGGAAAAAAAATTTTGGCCCCATCTTTTGTGAAATTTGTGTGAAATTTTGAAAAATTGCTAAAATTCTGACCACTATACTGGATAGTTTGAAAATTGTAAATGGGTGGTTTCTGCACTCATCAATAGAAAAAAATGGAGTTTTCTAGCGAAATATTCATGTTTTGTTGTCCGACTAGTACAGTGGAACTGGCCAAAAATGAGGCTTCAAAGTGGCAAAATCACGCCGATCCGTCAAACATCGCCGAGACCGCTAAACTTCGCGAGAGATAAAATTTTCCGTAAGTTTTCCATTCAATTTCATATTTTTTGGTCTGTCAATTTATGATCGGGAAAAGAATTCTCTATCTAGACATTTAAGAAAAAATTTTTTTTTTTTTTTAAATTTTGGCCGAACCCTGAGAACGAGTCTCGGAGAAGGCCTAGTCGACCATTAAAGGGTTAAACGGTCCCAAGATGTATATATAACGTTCCTTATGCGTAAATGAACCCCAAACGTATTACTGGAGATTTACCTGAAGATGAGGTTCCCCGGGGGTCAACGCCCCCGCCGGCCGTGCTGTTGACCAGGCCTCCTGGTGGACAGCAGTCCCTGATCAACCAGGCTGTTCTGCCGGCTGCACGCAAACCAACGTACCAGCCACAGCTCCGGCTGAGATCCGGAACGAGTGACTTTAGTGCTTGTCCAGTGCCAGATTGATAGACTGCCATGTGGGTCTGTATGGTAATTCCTCCCTTCGTGAGTGCTGGGACTATAGACAGTTGAACAGTCCTCGGGCCCCTGACACTTATTGTATGTCTCTTAACGTGCTAGTGACACCCTGCTTTTCATGGGGGATGGTGCAATCGTCTGCCAAGTCCTTTTGCTTTCGTAGTGAGTGATTTTCGTGTGCAAGTTCGGTACTAAGTCCCTCTAGGATTTTCCAGGTGTATCATACTCATGTAAATTTCTTTCTCCCTCCTTGCGTTCCAGGGAATACAGGTTCTTAAGGAACCTCAAGCGCTCTCCCACTAATTGAGGTGGTTTTTTATCTCCGTTATGCCGCCGTGAAAGTTCTCTGTACATTTTTCTAGGGTCGGGCAAATTTCACCTGCCTTGAAAGGTGCTGTAGTGTGCAGCAATATTCCAGCCTAGATAGAACAAGTGACCTGAAGAGTGTCATCATGGGGGCTTGGCCTCCCTAGTTTTGAAGGCTCTCATTATCCATCCTGTCATTTTTCTAGCAGATGCGATTGATACAATGTTATGGTCCTTGACTAGTGAGATCTCCGACATATCACTCCCAGGTCTTTGACGTTGGGTGTTCGCTCTATTTTGTGTGTGGGCCCAGAATTTAGTTTTGTACTCTGATGAAGATTTAATTTCCTCTTGATTTTTACCATATCTGAGTAAATTGAAATTTTTCTCATCGTTAACTTTCATACTTGTTTTTCTGCAGCCCACTGAAAGATTTTGTTGATGTCCCGCTCTGGAGCTTTTGCAGGTGTCCTGCAATGGATAGACACCTGTCATGCAGATTCGTTGTGTCCATCGATGCCACTAAGGAAGACAACCGGAGCGTGGCTGACTTCCGCTTACACTATGTCGATATGAGGATGAGGAACAAGATGGAGCGAGTACTGTGCCTTGTGGAACAGAGCTTTTCCACCGTAAGCAGCCTAGGACTTTAACTCCTGTTGACGACTACTCTCTGCTGTTCTGTTAGAGAGGCAATTACTAGATCCATCGACCGACTTTTCCCTGTTATTCCTTTAGCGCACGCATTTTGTGCCTATTATAGCCATGGTCAACACTTGTCGAAGTGCTTTTGGAAAGTCTGTAATATATTACATCTGCATTCTCTTTTGTCTTCTAGTGCATTTAGGACCTTGTCGTAGTGATCCAATAGTATGAGGACAGACAGGAGCGACCTGTTCTAAAACCTAGTGTTGCCCTGGGTTGTGTAACGATGGGTTTCTAGATGGGTGGTGATCTTCTCTTCTTAGGACCCCTTTCAAAAGATTTTTACACGATATGGGATATCTCTGTTAATTGTTATGCTTATTGGTCTGAGTTCTTTGCTGTTGCTTTATACTGCCCCCTTTGCATGAGTGGGGCTATGTCGAGTTGTTTTTTAGTAACTGAGGGACGACCCCCGTCCATGCTACCCCCTCTCCATAGGATGAAAAGG